TTGAACTCTGGGCCTGGGTGCTGTCCCTCAGCTCTTCAGCTCAAGGCGAGCGCTCTACCACTTGAGCTACAGCGCCACTTCCGGTTTTCTGGTAGTTTACTGGAGATAGGAGTTTCACGGTCTCTCCTGCCCGGGCTGGCTTTGAGCTGCGATCCTCAGATCTCAGCCTCCTGAGTAGCTAGGATTACAGGCGTGAGCCACTAGCGCCCGGCTTCACTGGTTATTTTTAAGATAAGAGTCTGACTCCCCCATGGCTGTGTGTTTGAGTCTAGATCTACCCAATTTCAGACTTTTCCATTGTTGCTGTGATTTCAGGCACATACCACTATCCATCTTATTTAAGGTTATTATTTAAGTAGGTTCATAAAATCCAATCCTATTTTCCCTTTTTTCTCCTCTGAATTTTCTGTATTTGTTTCGGTGTTTGGTTCTTATCTAGAAACATGTTAAATGTTTGGTAATTTCAGTGTGTTTATCAACTTGGTAGTAGAAGCTTGTTGGAGATCTGTATGGCCACCTTGGTGTATGGCCACCTTGGTGGATTCCCCACAGAGGTTTCTGTCTCAGCTGTTCTGCTGGAGGATATCTGCCTATTTATTATCTGTGAGTGTACTTACTTGTACTTGCTTATTTACCCATAGAGCAACCTGCCCATCTGGTTCAGCCTTTCCAAACAAAACACGTTCCATTTTCTTGTTAGGTTAGGCAAAGTCAGCTTCTTAACCGCTTAAGGTTCTTGCTGCTTTTGTTCACAGATTTCAGTCTTACTCTGGGATATTCCTCCAGTTCCTGAAATTTTTGTAGGAATCAGCTTGTTCTTGAACTTCCTTTACTTAGGTTTCAGCTTATTGGACCTGTTAACACTAGTTATCATTAACTATGTGCTTTCCAGGTTTTCTTTCTTGTTTTTTGTTTGCTTTTGTTTTTTGTGCCAGGCCTGGGTTTTGAACTCAGGGCCTGGGCACTGCCCCTGAGCTTCTTTGCTCAATGCCAGCATTCTACTACCTGACCTGTAGTTCCATTTCCGGCTCTTTGGTCCTTTATTGGAGTTAAGAGTTTCATAAACTTTTCTACCTGAGCAGGCTTTGAGCCTCAATCCTCATATCTCAGCCTCCTGCTAGCTAGGATTAAAGGTGTGAGCCATTGGTGTTGGGCTTACTTTCCAGTTTAAAAAAAAAATCTGTTCTTTGTCCTTACTGGCTTATGCTTTTTAAAAAGCGTATATGCTTACTGTGATTTTGATAGACTTGAGAAGTCAACATAGACATTGCATTTAACTTATTTGTAAAACCCATTTAACTTAATTTGTAAGGAATAATTTTGCATTTGATCTTTTTTTATTCTCTTCTGTGTATCTAGTAGTTTACATATTTATTTGCAGCAGAAGGATTAGCTTCATCAAGTAGATGGTCTTCAGTTACTGTACATTAGCATTCCATATAGCATACTGCATGTTTGTAACTTGTCTAAAAACAGGAATCCTGAGCCAGCTTTCGTTTTTCTACAACAGCAAAGGCGTCAGCAGAGAGAATTGATGAAAGCTCTCCAGCAGCAGCAACAACAGCAACAGCAGAAACTCTCAGGTTGGGGGAATGTCAGCAAGCCTGCAGGTTCCACAAAGTCTCTTTTGGAGATCCAGCAGGAAGAGGCCAGGCAGATGCAGAAGCAGCAGCAGCAGCAGCACCAGCAACCAAACAGAGCCCGGAATAATGCAGTGGGTTCATTTTTCTCAGTTGGCTTTCTATGGACTGCTGTTACATTACGTTATCTTTTCATCTTTTCAGTATGTTAACCATAATCATTCCTGTTTCTTTGACAGCATTCCAACCTGCATACCAGCATTGGAAATTCTGTTTGGGGCTCTATAAATTCTGGTCCTCCTAACCAGTGGGCCTCTGACCTGGTCAGTAGTATCTGGAGTAATGCTGACTCTAAAAACTCCAACATGGGATTCTGGGATGATGCCGTAAAAGAAGTGGGACCTAGGAATTCAACAAATAAAAATAAAAACTCCAGTCTCAGGTAGGGCTCAGAGTGACCACCCTCTAGTGTACCTTGATTGGATGGGGGGTGGTAGAGGTATGGAATGTTGGGTGGGCTGAGAAAGGAGTTAGTTTTACTTAGAGTTTTCATCTGTGTCCAGGCACATAAGTCATTATTATGGTGATTGCTTTCTTCCCCATAGAAGCACATTTGTATTATTTCTTAGGGACCTTTGTACTGCTGAGCACTCAACAACATGGTAAATATTAAGAACAGCATACTATTTTTGTCATTGTTCAACATTTCTCCAAATACCTTAGTATTTTTTTCTAAGTTTATTTTAAGTTACTTTGATACTATAATTCGTATTACGAAATACCTCTGTTATGACCTGTTATTTTTTATGACAAGTTAGTTACATTTCATCTTCCCCAGTTAGACAGTGTTGTTGAACACCATGGGTTTTAACACTTAATACATGAACTCAAGTCCTAGCACTACCACTTACTAGCTGTGTGACTTTGGGCAAGAGGGACGCTCTTTTGCGCCTCAGTTCCCTCATCAGTAAAAGGAAGATGGTAACTTCACTGGTGTAGAGATATAAAGATTAGGGCTGGGAAGGTGGCTCAGTGGTAGAGCGCTTGCCTTGCACGCCTGAGGCCCTTCGATTCCTCAGCACCACAAAAGCAAAAAGAAAAAAAGCCGGAAGTGGTGCTGTGGCTCAAGTGGTAGAGTGCTAGCCTTGAGCTGAAGAGCTGACGGACAGCACCCAGGCCCAGAGTTCAGGCCCCACGACCGGACCCCCCCAAAAAAAAAATAACCAGTGAAGGGCTGGGAAGGTGGCTCAGTGGTAGAGCGCTTGCCTTGCATGCCTGAGGCCCTGGGTTCGATTTCTCAGCACCATATAAGAAAAAAGCCAGAAGTGGCATTGTAGCTCAAGTGGTAGAGCACTAGCCTTGAGCTGAAGAGCTGAGGGACAGCGCCCAAGCCAGAGTTCAGGCCCCACGACTGGACCCAAAAAAAAAAAAAAAAAGATTAAATCAGTGTGTGTGAAGTAGGAAAGTGCTGGCACATGGTAACTACTTAATAAATGGTAGTGTTGTCAGGTTTTTTTGATTGAGGGCTTAAGAACAGCAGATGTGTGTTAGTTACTTGCGCATTGTTGCCAGGCTCTATGCTCTAGGGCTTTGCATACAGTGTCTTTATTCTTCATTATAACCCAAAGAAGTATGCTTAGTACCATTTTACAGATGAGAAAACTGAGGCTTAGTAAAAATGAAACACCTTACCTAAAAACAAATAGGAAGATTGCATTTTTTCTCTAATAGAAGGCCTGTATTCACAAATGAGGATATATTAGCAGAGGCTAGATTTAAGAGGTTTTTTCAATCCAAGTACTTGAACTTTTTCTTTCTTTTATAAAGCTAAGAACTAGATTACTGAACTGCTATCCAGTGTTTCCAAGCCATTATTTATGGTATTATAATATAACCATATAGTAACAGTTTCTGGGAATATAATATCGCCCTATTGTTTTGCTTTAGTAAATCTGTAGGTGTGTCTAACCGGCAGAATAAGAAAGTAGAAGAAGAAGAAAAGTTGCTGAAGCTCTTTCAGGGAGTAAATAAAGCCCAAGATGGATTTACCCAGTGGTGTGAACAGATGCTTCATGCCCTTAATACGGCAAATAACTTGGATGGTAAGAATTGGGGAGGGAACCCCAGCATGTGCAATGCCCAGAGAGGATGCCCAAAGGGGTTGGCAAAACTCAGGAGTGGCTAAAACTCAAATCAAATCTAAGAAGGCCAAGTTTCACATTTACAGTAAGAACTTGGCTCATTTGGAGTTGGAGAGAAAACTCCCTCAATATTAAGATCAAATAAGTTGTGCATGGTTGCCAAAGAGTATTTATCATTTCAGGCTGCTTTAATGATATAATGAGACAGGTGATGATTCTGTGCTATGTATTTCATGGGAGATGTTGTCAGATGTGTTAGGTTCATCTTGGGGACCGAGGTCAGCCTGGGCAAGAGAAGACTGAGGTGCTGTGACATTACCACCTTCGTGCCTCTGCAGAGGGATTGGCATCATAACACAGAAAGCAGAATCACTTTGGGGGGGATAAAATTATATGCAAAATTAAGTTTCAGCACAGTTTGAACAGGCAGTTCAAACAGTGAGCTGTTTACAGAAGACTTACCTGCTAAATGTTTGAACAGACTGGTAGGCAGAGATAGAAAGGGTCTCCATAACTGATAGTTCAAGTTAAATTAGTCCACCCCTGATGCCTGGCCTAAAGCTTGAGAATCTTTAAAAACTGGAAGTAAAGGAAGAGAAAGGTCCCTTTGTGGCCTTGTAACAGCATCTAATGGTCTAAACAGCTGCAGAGCGAAAGATTGTAAATAATAATAATGGCTACCATACATTAAGCACCTACCATGTGCTAGGCACTATCGAGGGCCACCATGTTATCCCAGCAATGCAGTTCTGGTACTAAATTTTAAAGATACTTGTACAAGGTAGGTGGTATTATCCCCATTTCTAAAATTAGGAAACAGGGGCTCAGAATGGTTAAGTAGCTCATCAAGGTCACACAGCCACCAGACTTCAGAGTCAAGTTTAAAACCCATATTTTTCTAACTCTTGTTATTTCTGCTATTTGTCTAGTACCACATGACTTGACATTTTCCATTTGATTTCTCTAGACATAAAATGTCTCCATGGATTAGGAGCTCTGGGAGGACATCCTCCCAGCTATACTTTAGTATCTTTCTTGGTGCCTGGAACACATCACACACTTAATATGAATTATTGATTGAGTTAAAGGAAAGCAGGACTGAATCTCCAAATCACTGGCATCCTAAGCAAATAACTGTTTCAATGACATTAGTCAAATTAAGCTTTGTGATATGTCTTTGATTGTTTGCCATCCCAGATAATTTTAGGCATCATGATGATAGGTGTTTTTTTTTCCATTCTACAAGGTAGATTAAGGAACTTTTAACACAGTAGCTGCAGAGTTTCCATGTTTCTGTTGTTAAAGTGTAATGAGGTATAGCAATACCTTAAAACCTGAAGCTCCTTTTTTCATAAGTTGTTCTTACTAATTATTTCACTATTACTGTCTTGTGTTTTTGCCCCTACCATATTGCAGTTCCCACATTTGTTTCTTTTTTGAAAGAAGTTGAATCTCCTTATGAGGTCCATGATTATATCAGGGCCTATTTAGGAGACACTTCTGAGGCCAAGGAGTTTGCCAAGCAGTTCCTTGAGCGTCGTGCCAAACAGAAAGCCAACCAGCAGCGTCAACAGCAGCAGCAGCAGCAGCAGCAGCAGCAGCAACAGCAACAGCAACAGCAGCAGCAACAGGTAAAAAGTAATATGCAGTACCTCTGTGAGGATTACTGCCTATAAATAACCGACTAGCCACAGAAATAAAAATTAGAAAAGTTCCATTTTTGCACATACACTGATGAAAGCTTGCTTTTTTTTTTGCCAGTCGTAGGGCTTGAACTCTGGGCCTGGGCACTGTCCCTCGGCTCTTCAGCTCAAAGCGAGCACTCTACCACTTGAGCTACAGCGCCACTTCCGGTTTTCTGGTGGTTTATTGGAGATAGGAGTCTCACAGTCTCTCCTGCCCGGGCTGGCTTTGAACCGTGATCCTCAGATCTCAGCCTCCTGAGTAGCTAGGATTACAGGCGTGAGCCACCAGCGCCCGGCTGATGAAAGCTTTTTAAAATACATAGACTTGGGGCTTGAACTCAGGGCCTGGGCACTGTCCCTTGGCTTCTTTTTTGTTCAAGGCTAGCACTCTACTACGTGAGCCACAGTGTTTATATGGTGCTGAGGAACTGAACCCAGTGCAAGCACTGTACCACTAAGCCACATTCCCAGCCCCAGACTTGATATTTTCCAATTAACCTGCCTCTGTCAATTTCCCAAATAGTAAATACAGCCATTTATTCTGTACTAGGCATGGCCAGTTTCAGTTTTCTTGATTCACTTATGTGTGTTAGTGAAACTGCAGCCCCCTGTATTCACTGTAGTCAACAAAGCCACAGTATCTGTGGATAGTTCATGTATTGCTGATGGGGCTTTAAAAGATAGTCTCCTCTCATTATCGGTTGTTCTATAAAATCCTCATGAACATTAAATTGGAAAGCACTGAAATGTTGTTCCTAAGGCTTAAGTTCTGGTTATATTTTTACCATGCATTCCGTCTATAATTTTGTTTTATATGTGTTTCTGTTTAAAGAAACCTTATTTAATATATGCTGATTTATTATTAACATTTAACTGTGCTAAGACCACTGTAAGTCATGACTGAAAAAAGCTCTTCTCAATAGTGACAGTTGAGTAGATGGTGATAGTTGAGTAGATAGATGGGCTAATGGGTAAACTAAGAGCAATGACAGGTGACAGTACCTGAACAGCACTAGAAAAGATGTGGAACAATGCAGGAGCACTTTGTGTCTGTGGAATGTCCTCCCCTGTGGGCTGGAAGGGGAAGACCCCAACATGTTCCTGTGCCTCACGTGTCTCCTTCCAGTGTTTTCTCCACTCCTTCCCCACTGCTGCCATTCAGCCTTTGAGTTGGCTCCTTGAGATTGGTCTAATAAAAGCAACAAAAAGTACAAAAGGTTGGTGGACTATTTCACTGTCTGACCAGTTGGCAGTAAGTATGTAGGCATTATTTGCTGGCAAGTTCCCTTCTGGGATTGCTGATAGGAATAACACATATAGACTTTAGCTTTCTTTGGTGATATTCTACCAGGTGGTTCCCAGCCTGTCTGTCCCAGGGCACAGAGTGCAAAGAATTGTACTTTGAGTAGATGAGGGGTATACATTGGCATAATACAGGTGCTTGTTTGTGATTATTTACTATGCATTTCATTTCCTAGTAGATAGCATAGATGTCATATTTTCTATAGAACTTGTGACAGCTATGCTGACACAGCAGAGTAGAGAACCAGTTTCCCTGGAAAGGTTTAAGTAGGGTGTTGGAATGTAAATGAGGCTCAGTGGTCTGTTCTTGGATTTAGTGTTGCCAGAGCTGTAACAGGCTCTTTGTCTTTATATTCATACTTAGTATGGTATGGGCAAGTTAGTGGTTCTAAGAATCTTAGGGCTACAACCATACATCTACAGTGTATTCTCAGGTATGTTGTCTCATTTCACAGGACTCTGTGTGGGGGATGAATCACAGTACACTCCATTCAGTATTTCAGACCAATCAAAGCAACAACCAACAATCCAATTTTGAGGCTGTGCAAAGTGGCAAGAAGAAGAAAAAGCAGAAGATGGTTCGAGCAGATCCCAGTTTACTAGGTGAGCCCAGGTCTGGCATTGCTGCTGGGTGTGGGGGCGCGGGTGAGGGCAGTGAGCAGATGGGCTCTACGCAGTATGCTCATGAAGATTAATTTTAAAACTGGTTTAAAGTAAGTAGCCAGTATTTCCTGAGCATCTCAGTGCAGAAGAGATGGCTTATATGTTTTAGTGGATAGGAAAAATTAATGACATTGTATGATGCTTTAAACTTTCAGTTTAGTTTGAGAATAATAAGGGAAACCAATAAAAATAGTTTAGAATCACAAATATTGATCTGGGTTGGAAGCAGGCCATGAATCTGATCATATGTTTAGGAACTGATACTTGTTGATATCTACTGTCTGTAGGATATAAGGCTTGGATAAGGTGATGTCCTGATTCTCACAATTATTAGACCAAGGCCTATTTAGAACATTTTCCCAGTGCTTTTGTTGAGGACTGGTGTCTTCATGCAAAGCATTCAAAATGGAGCTTTGAAAGATTGGAGTAGGGGCTGGGAAGGTGGCTCAGTGGTAGAGTGCTTGCCTTGCATGCATGAGGTCCTGGGTTCGATTCCTCAGCACCACATAAGCAGAAAAAGCTGGAAGTAGCACTGTGGCTCAAGTGGTAGGGTGCTAGCCTTGAGCTGAAGAGCTGAGGGACAGCGCCCAGGCCCAGAGTTCAAACCCCAAGACCGACAAAAAACAAAAAAGAAAACTGTGAGGAGGAGGAAAACTTCGACAAAGTATTGAAAAACTCATGGACAGGTTAGAAAAGGACCATCTTAAGAATATGACTGCTCAGCTAAGCCTTCTGAAAATTCCTTTGATCATTGCTCATTTCTATTCTATGCTTACTCATTTCCATTTTTTAAATTTATATGTCACCTGTAGATTTACAGATTGGAAAATTTTTAAATGACTGTCCATTAGCCTCAGGTTTCCTATACACAAAATGGAAAAGTTCTTACTTCATGTGAAAATATCCATTGGATATCCATTGGTTGAAAGAGAACCCTTCATCTTGTCTGTAATCCCAGCTACTCAGGTGGTAGAGATCAGGAGAATCTAGTTCCAGGATAGCCTAGGCAAAAATTAGCAAGGCCCCCAGGCATGGCCCAGATACATGGGAGACTATAGATAGGAAGTTTATGTTCCACGCTGGCCCTGGGGAAAATCCCAAGACTTGAAAATTAGCTGAAGGTAAAAAGGGTTGAGGGGTACAGCTAAAGTGGTAGACTGTTGAGCAAATTCAAGGTCCTGAGTTCTGCACCAATACCCACAGAGACAGAAGAAGAGAAGGAGGGGAGAGAATGAGAGAGAAAGAAAAGAAGGGAAGTCAAGGGAGGGAGAGAGGAAGAGAACATCGTGAGTTCTTTGCTTGCTTTTTACTTCTAAAACAAGCCAACAGAGGGAGCTCCAGACTCGTTTCCTTTCCCACATAATCCTCTAGTCTTAGGTTTCATACTATAGTTTTTAGAACTGGCCAGTATGAATCAGCTGGACAATAAATAATATGCTCACTTGTGAGGGTAGTCTCACAAACCTTAATGTGAGTGTGTCTGTTCCGAACCTAGCAGGATGTGGTCTGTACAACACCAATAGAGGGGAATTCCCTCTCCCCTGAAAGGTAATGCCTTGGCACCTGGCAGCCCAGAGTTTTCCTCTGTCAGGTGGGGAGGTTGAATGCACACCTGACCAAGGTTTGGTGGGAGGTTTGGTTTTGTTTTGTTTGGGGGTTTGCGTTTTGGTGGGACTTTTGGTTGTTTCGTTGTTGATGATCAGTGGTGTCTGGGTGCTGTCCCTGATCATCATTTGTGCTCAAGGCTGGTGCTCTGCCACTTGAGCCCCAGCTCCACTTCTGGCCTTTTGATAGTTAATTGGAGATAAGAGCCTCAAGTACTTTCTTGCCAAGGCTGACTTCAATCCTCAGTCCTCAGATCTCCTAGTAGTTAGGATTATAGGTGTGAGCCACCAGCGCCCAGCATGACTAGGGTTTTATTAAATACTTGAACACAGCCATGTCCTAACTGCCTACCCTAGTAACCAACACAATAGTATCTAATAGCCACATTTTCCCCCAGAGACTCCTCCCTTCTTGTCTTCGCATGAAAATAAGTTTGATTTTAAGTTTCTACTACTGTTCCATATAAGTTAGTTTTTAATTGTTACTATAAAGGTGATATACAGAGGGTTACAGTTACATGAGTCAGGTAAAGATTATATTTCTTTGTGAACAGTGTCACCCCTTCCCTTGCTTTCTCCCAGTTTCTTCCTACTATCCCCCACCCACAAGTTGTACAGTTCATTTTCAACATCGTGTCTAGTGAGTACTAGTGCTGCATGTGTTCTCCCTTTGTCCCTCTATTTCTGTGCCTTTCCCTAAAACCCTCCCAAGGACAGATAAGCGGAAAAACAAAAAAACGGCAACAAAGAAAAAAAGTCTTGTTTCCATTTCCTGGAGTTCATCTCAATAAATATTATTTTGTTTGATTAGAGATAAGCTATTTTTAAACATATGCCACCTTTCATAGATACTTGGTCTTTAGGTTCTTGGGCTTACCTAACTAAATCATGACTTCAAAAATAAGAACTAAGACTTGTTATTTCCAGGGGAGAAAGGTCTTTTGCAGATGGTCGACCGTTGGCTGGTGGGCTTGGGTAGGGTTTTGGGGCGGCTCAGCCGCTTCCTCTGCAAGCTCCTTAGTAAACAAGTGTGTTTATTTTTTCAAATCGTGATATTTTGAGTCAGTTAATTAAGCTGTTTTATTATGTAAGGCATTCTTGTTTGTTATTGGAACATTTCAGATGAGTGTTTATTTGAAAGCTTGAGCATTGAGGTACCAAAAAACGGGTATGAAAACCCACCAATGGTAACAAGCGCTTCTGGAGTGGAGGAAGCAGAGGGAGTGGAAGGCATCGCCTGTTTGTTTTTGGTTTTCAAAGGGCAGCTGAAACAGTTTGGGAATTCATCCCAGGTGGAGAAACTGGAAAGCTTTCTGAGAGTCGCTTGCTCTACACAGGACTTATTTGTTGTAATTTTTATCAACCTCTGATTATGGATTTTATTGAAAGAGTACGTATATGTGACCACTGGTGTTCAGTTTTCCAGTGAAGATAGTGTTTATGAATACTGCCTGTGGCCTTCCTGGGTATGCTAGTAACTGCTTTTTCTAAGGCAGATTCTAGTTGTTGATACCTGAAATCCTCACCTGTTCAGGTCTTCTGACTTAGCTTTCTCTGCTCTCCCCTATATTACCCAGCTAATGTGCTCAAAGACTTGAATTCACACAAGCCCACTGCTGAGGACTTGGGCTGGGCTCCTTGATTGTTGGGGTAGTCACTCATCACCCTTTCCTCCTCCCCGCAGGGTTTTCCGTCAACGCGTCATCAGAGCGACTCAACATGGGCGAGATTGAGACTCTGGATGACTACTGAGCCCGCTGCTGCCCCGCCCTCCCTCTCTGCCCGCCAACCACATGCTCTCCACTTGGACACATCATGCACTCGTCATTTGCTCTCTGTCACTCTGCAACAAATCACAGAATCGATCATCTCAGGCTTTTTCTCCTAGCCCTTTGTGTCCAAGATTCTTTAAATCAATTTTGTTGGTGAGCCCCTCAGACTGTACGTAGTGGGCCAAACCCTGTGTCTCAGGGTGGCAGCTGGGATTTGCTCCCCAACAAGGCTGATGTTGGCAGCACATGGTCGCTGTGCCGTGGTTTCATCTGCTGTCTCCAGAAGGTGTGTTGGGATCTGCTGATAGCAGCTTACTTTCCCTTACCACTTTTTTTCCTTCTGTTTTGTTTTTTCTTCTTCTTTTCTCCCCCTGTAAGGGCAGGAGGTCTAATGGTGCAATCATGAAGAGAGTCAATGGTAACAGACAGTGGCCAGCAACACAGTGTCCCACGGACTGTGACTTGAGTATCCGCAGAGACAGTCCAAGCTCTCCATCTGGTTGTATTGCCACTGCTACCTTCGGGATTGCATCAGAGAGACCCCCAGTGGAGGGGGTGGAGGGTGGATTGGTTTGGTGGTGCACATCCGTCGCCTGCTCTTTCTGAACACCCTTTCGGAGAAAGGATTCATGTTTTCTTCATTAGATAGTGACTTGCAAACAAGCTGACTTCTCTCCTGGCGTGCTCCAACCTTACGGGACAAAAGAAGCCCTGTGGCCGGGGAGAGAGACTTATTCTTAATTTTTCTTTCTTACAAAAACTGATTTTTTTTTTCCCATAAATATTTTTACTTCAGAGGACTAGGACCAGTTTGTTTTGGGCCCTTCTGTGAAAATTTGTCTCGTTTAAGAGACAGCTAGGATCTTTACCATATGTATGAATTTGTATAATTTCATTTTGGATAGGGATAAACTTTTGCTTCCGATAAAAGCCCGGAATTTCATCTGGTTCCTCAGAGCATTGCGTGTGTGTCTTGCTATGCCCCCAAAAGGTTCTGTTTAAAGATGATTGGATGGTAAGTTGCCTGCCTTTTCTGGAAGAAAAAAAATGTACAAAACCTGGCCATCTCTGACCTTCATCCATGGAAAGCCCTCTGGTGGAGGCCGCGGCGGGGCGGTGGGCGAGAGCAGCAGCGGGAAGCCTGCACCGCCGGCTTCTGGTCCCAGCTCCCCCTTCCCCTCCACATCACCTAGAAATGTGCTTGAGCTCTATTTATAAACACGCTCTTCCTGCCCCACCAGACTCCCACAGCACATGGAACGGCCAGTCACGGCGGAGCTGCTCCGCTCTGCCCGCCGGAGGCGCCGTGGGGCCGGCTCCTGGGCGAGGCGCCTTTCCTCGCCATCACCGGTGCCCGGACAGGCTGGAGTGGCTCTGAGAGCAGTTGGGTCTGGGAGGATTCTATTTGGTTTCTATTTTTATTGTTTTGGATCACCACTGTCCTCATCCCTTCTTGCCTCCCTCCCTCTAAACATGTACAATAACTATACAGAGACTGCTCAAACTTGTATATAGTTTTTGGATCAAATAGCATGAGGAGATGGGAACTCCTACTCTCCTTTGCTTTGTAAATTCAAAAGTGGGGGGTGGGAGGAGGGATAGTTAAAATGTTTACAAAACTTTAAGCTCCCTCGGACTTTTGCCAGTGTGGAGGAAAATAAAAAAAAAAAAAAAAAGAACTTAAGTAACAATGTGGTTGTGTTCTCTGAGCGCACCTCTGGTATTCGCCTTCATCGAGGCAGAGTTTTACACTAAACTTTTCCTCTTGGCGAAATGGAAGAGCTCCCAACATTGCAGGCTCCCAAGACAGAGGTGGCCCCGGCTCCTGGCCCAGCTGTGGCTCTGGCGCCTGGCTGGGTGTGTGAGGTGGTAGCAGTCAAGGTAAACACGGGCAGCTGAAGAACAGCGCTCCTTTTTTGCCACTCCTTTTCTGCCAAGCTGGGGATGTGCTCCTGGCCTATCACCAGAAACGACCTTCTGAGTGTGCCCAGAGCCAGCCCACATCTTCTAAATAGGACTCTGCTATTTGTTCAGCAGAAATAAAAATAAAGTTTAGAAAATTTGTGGAGTGGGCATATCAGAACAAAGCCATTTTAATCAGGGAAGATTCCATTTGCTTAACTAGGACCGGTTTCTATGTGGACAGTTTCTTGCTTGGAGAGAAGACTGTTCTCTGGGAAGGCTTGTCTTTCCTCAGTTCTCTGCCATATTCTTTTTTGTCCACTCTTCTTCCTGTAATTGTGATTCCTTCATTCTTCCTGAGGGTTTTTCTTTTCTGGGAGGGGAGGCCATCCTGGGGGTGCCGGTGATCGGGCCCAGGACCGTACGCACGGCCAAGAGGCAGGTGCTTGAAGCTCTGAGCTCCAGCGTCAGCCCTTTCTGAGGTTTGTTTGGGGATGGTACTAGGGAATAAATTCAGGGCCTTGAGCTCCAGGGCCTCCACGGCCTTTAATTTTTGTTAATTTTGAGGTAGGATCTCACCTCACTCTTGGGCCAGCCTGGCTACCACGGAGGATGGCAGTTACATGCCCCTGTGCCAGCCATTGTGCTGCTTCTGTACCTAGGACAAAGTCTCTTGGTGTCTGCAGGGCACTGGTTCTAAAACCCTAACAGATAACAGAATCTCTTTGTGCTCAACTCCTTAATACTAATTTGTGTGCTCTGTTCCTATAACCTGTGTACCTCCTCATGTATACTTTAAGTCTGTAGATTCCTTCTAACACCTAATACAAATGCTCTGTAAGGAAATAACGACAAAAATCTCTACATAGCAATATATATGCAATGTTTTTCTCAAACGTTGAAGATATATAGGTACTACTGGGGGCACTTGTATTTTGTACATTGTTCTTTTATTTAATGCCAGGCCTGAGTGCTGTCCCTTTGTTTGCTCAAGACTAGTGCTTTACTATTTGAGCGACAGCTCCACTTCTGACTTTTGATAGTTAATTGGAGATAGAACACTCATGGACTTTTCCTGCCCCAGCTGGCTTTAAACCACAATCCTCAGATCGAAGTCTTGAGTAGCTAGGATTATAGACGTGAGTCTCTGGAACTTGACACTCCTTTATTTAATGTTGTTCCTGTACTGGCTTGAACTCTGGACCAGGGCGATCCTCCCTAACTTTTTTGCCCGAGTCTCTCTCTCAAGCTACAGTCCCAAAAGCTCTGGCTTTTTGGTGGTTAATTGGAGATAAAAGCCTCATGGACTTTCTTGCCCTGGCTGGCTTTGAACTGTAATCCTCCAATCTCAGCCTCTTGAGTAGTTAGGATCACAGCCACCAGTGCCTGGCTATTTATTACTTTGTAATTCTCAGGTTTAAAAAACATTGCCAGTTTCAAGATTTTTCCCAAGGTGGGTGGTCTGGACGCCATTGCTGCATAATATAATTGCCTTCACATTGAATTACAGCTACTTCCTTACAGTGTTCTATTCCCTGCTTTGGGAAGGGCTTCCAAGGTGGTTCTTCATGGTCTCTTGAGGTCATGGTCTTGTGTCAGCAGGGTTACTTGCGTAACTTGCGGTCTGAATTGGCTCTCGCATGACTGATGGTTGATGTTGGTGGGCAGTGTCCTCTGGCAGAGCATCTTCCCAGCATTACCTTTTCTTGCCTATCATGTGGTAATAGCCCGCATGCTACTCAGATGTCAGCCCTCTCACCAAAGGTGGCAAGGCCATCTTCACAAGAGCATAAAATGAGTTTTATTGATTTATTGAATCAAGGGCTTGGTTTTCATTGACTCTTCTCAGTGCAAGGTTATTTTGTTTGGGGTTGTTTCAGATTCCAGGATAGATCATGGTGCTTCCAGCTTTATTTTAAACGATTTTGGGGGCAGCCATTTTTATACATACAAGCACAACCACACTATTTCAAAATTTGTGATGAATGGGCTCAGTGATAGAGCGCTTGCCTAGCATGCCTGAGGCCCTGGGTTCGATTCCTCAGCACCACATAAGCAAAAAGTAAAAAGCTAGAAGTGGCGTTGTGACTCAAGTGGTAGAGCGCTCACCTTGAGCTGAAGAGCTGAGGGACAGCGCCCAGGCCCAGAGTTCAGGCCCCACGACCGGACCCAAAAAAAAAAAATTTTGTGATGAGTTAAGGTGTAAAAAGTCCATGTGTGAATCTGAGGAAACAGTGGTTCTTAGAAAAGCACATATTTCTGTATGCTGCTTTTGGGATGTAAAGGTCTTTCTAGAAGGAGCATCGTGTGCGTGTGGTGGATGGCCGCATGGCAGGTGGGTGCTCCTCCTACACCAGCGTTGGCCTCTTGCTGATGAGTTTCTCAGGACTCTGGTCCTGCTTGAGTTCAACCTTTCCCTGCTGAGTGTGAGCCTACTATGCTTGCTGGGACTTTGGGGTGTGTGTCTGGGAACCTTGAAACCACCACATGTGTGAGGCTCGTTTTACAGGTGTTAGGGGTGACGGCCACATACAGCTTTGGGGGGTACTACAGGCCAGGAGCCAAAGCCTGCAAGTGAAGTAATGACTATAGCTGTCGTTCGCAGCTAGGCTTCTTCCCTGAGAGCTGCTGTGCCCCCTGAAAGCTGTCATCACAGCCCATTGCCCGCCAGCTGCTCTGCCACCTGAAAGAGGTCATCCCTTCCTCCCCCTGCCCCCCATGGAGAGGAGATGGAACAACATGGTGTGATGCAGTTGCGCTCAGGAAACTGACACGGCTCCTCCCCCCTCCACACCGCCAAACTACCCGAGGGCTCCATTAGTGGCCTTGGGCAGTGAATTGCCTTTTTCTTTGAATTCCTTCCTGAACAGGAGGCAAATGGACCTGAGAATAGTTGTTGGGTCATCGTTGGGTCTGTGGTATATAACAGAAGACCCGAGCAACAATGCCCCGAGGTGGTTTACTTCTGGGGCGAGTTGGGGGTCATCAAGTCCAGGTTGCAAGACCCAGTCCTTCCTATTGCCATCCTGACTGTAGTTTCCATCCTCACGATGCAAGGTGGCTGCTGAAGGACACACCGTGCCCGTGTAGCGGGCATGAGGAAGGGCTGGTACCCCTCTCTACTTGGCTCCTTTTAGGGAGCTAGAATATAGAGATGGAGCTAGGCTTAGTTGTAGGAAAGGGGAGCTTGCGGGCTCACCGGCGCGCTCTTCCACAGCGGCTCAAATGCCGTCATGGGGAGGCCCGGTTGGGAAACGGCTTTAGGAGGTCCTGAGCAGCCTCGGGCGCCTGCTGGCCCGCCCTGCGGGAGCTTTCGTGAGCACTGAGGGAGAGCACAGCAGAGGGCTGCTGGCCTTCACTCCGTGGCGGCCCATGCCGGCTCACCCTGCTCACGCCATGGGCCTCGTGCTGGAGCAGAACTTCGCTGGGTTCTCAGAGCTTGTTTTCAGTACGCCCTGAAGCAGTTGGTGCTTTGTGGGTTGGGAACAAATTGGGGAAAAGAAAGCTGGTGGGAGATGAGAAGCCGCTGGCACCGTGTGCGGTGGCGGCTGTGCAGTCCCTGTGACGCCAGGTGAGGCTGATGCCCAGCGACTTCAGGAGCTCTTCCGTGTCTGCCACCCAGAGAACTGAAGAGTACCATGGATACTAATATGTGTGTACACAGGGCTGGGAAGGTGGCTCAGTGGTAGAGCGCTTGCCTTGCATGCATGAAGCCCTGGGTTCGATTCCTCAGCGCCACATACACAGAACAAGCTGGAAGTGGTGCTGTGGCTCAAGTGGTAGAGCGCTAGCCTTGAGCTGAAGAGCTCAGACAGCGCCAGGCCCTGAGTTCAACCCCCAGGACTGGCCAAAAGAAAAAATGTGTTTACATAAAAAGGAAGAGGACGTGCAGCTGCATGGTCCCCTGGCTGTAGAGGTCCAGAGGTTGGGGTGTGGCTTGTGCTCTTCAGTCCAAGCTCTGCCAGCCCCTTACGGCTAGCCGCCTCCCTGCAGCCTGACACACACCTGCACACCTCCACTCCTGAGACGTCCAGCTCGCGT